GTGCAAACTAGTTGTACATATGAGAAAAGGGCAAGAGAGAATGATACACATATGTATGTTTGCAGCATCGGGAATGGACCCAGTTCTGATGGAGTTTTCGGATGTTTGCCGTTACTTCCTCGGCAAAAGTGGCGAGTACATTGCTGTAGGATTTTCCGTAATCGTGCTGCTTGGTGGTATCATGGTCTACTGGGTGTTAATGTCGAACTTTCTGTTCTATACAGGGACCGTCGTTTACGGTACGAATTACTCTCATTGAGAATATAATGTGTGTTTCTTATCAACACCTTACACGGTGTTCTCTGGTTATTATTTTTTTTCTAACTTAATCTATCATATTTTATAGAAGCGCTTCAACCAAACAGTTCAACCATTCCAATTATGGAAAATAAGACGTTCACATGTGACGGTGAGGAGTTCCATCTCCTTGGAACTCTGTTTTCAAATCACTTTGAACATTTGCTTAACGATTGCCTATGGGATTTTACAGGTGCTTATGAATCATTTTGTGTTATGTTCTCTTACGCTTTTAGTTTACTGTCCGATGGACGAATCAATACCTCCTTTGTTAAACGAATATCCAACTCTGCCGTTTCCTCCCAGCTGGTTTTTACCCTCATGGAGTTTTGATCAGTTATGGCAGTTGCAGGTATATCGCATCCAAACCCTCCGTTGTAATCGTATTAGTGCAGGTTGCACCTTCATATTTGATTTTCCATTTTTACAAAATTTATGCAATGTGTAAGTGGTCCACAGGATGAAAACCGTACTACTGCATAGTCTCTTTTCATTTCATATGCTTGCGACCATGGATTTATTGACAAGTCCCACGTTAAGGTTTTTTGCTGATGTTTTTGCTTAATTATGCTCAGTTTAGAAAGTGGATGTGATTCATGAACCTATTACAGGTTCATTACCCACCTTCGTAGCCTGCCAAGCTTATTTTCAGCGCACAGTGCCGATATACCTTGCATTCTTGACATTTCCTCTGATGAACTTCAAATCACCTACCTTTTTTACAAAATTCAATGTA